AAGAATTCTATCATCACTCCACTACCACTGTCCACCAGTAATTTATAACCACACTCATAATTCTCACTCCAAGTGCCTGTTTAGAGTGAGATGCAACCATAGCAACTTCCTCTCTGGCAGGTGAGGATTCAGGGGTTCAGAAAGGGAGGCTGACTTAGCTGGGACACACAGCAACTGGCAAAGCAGCACTAGAAAGCTGTTGTCCTGACACACAGTTTGGGGGCTATGAATTACACCACCGTTTTTTAAAAATCAAGATCTTAATTACAAGCTTAAGGATGGTATAAAGAGTGTGATATTATAAGATGGTTTACTACTGTGATATAATTCATCTTCGTGAGCACCATCCCCTGATGTAGCTATAAGGATGGGGGATGGGTTAGAAGTCCCTTTCAGAGGCCTTATATGACAGTCAGAGTTGGGGATACTTTAAATAAATCTGCATCTCTCAGGAGGCTTTGAAGGCCACTCCCCATGCTTGGGGACCTTGGGACCATCGGTGATATTGTGGTGACTGGAAGCAGCCACCTGACCGCACAGAAGCCTGTGACAGCTGGAGGATGGATGGAAAATCAAACCGACAGCTGACTGGTGACAACCAGCATCCTCAGCATCAAAGTGTCTCACTGGTAATAAGCTCCTGGCTTCATCACAAGTCTCTTTGGACAGTCTGCTAGTTGGTGGTGTGAGAGCCATGATAACAGGGGGAGGGAGTGCACTGGAGGCTGACTCATAGTGGCAGGAGTCTGAGGAATTAAGCATGGTCTCTGCAGGGGAATCAAGCAGAATCAATTAAGGCTGTGGGTAATGGAGGCAAAAAAGGAGCAATAATCCAGTGGAAGGTCAGAATGAACCTGGGCCAGCAGTTACAGGTAATACCCAACGTTAGATCACCCAATAAGCAAGGTAAGCAGGGCTTACTTGTGCTTACTTACTCATCTGTAATGAATAGTTTCATATGTTTTTCACCGTCTGTGCTTACATTGCTTATTGGGTACTCCATCCCTGTCAGGGGTTGTAAATTTGAAAAGAGGCATTAATTCTGTAGGGAGATGCTGTCGGGTTGGGGGAGAGACAGATGCCAGCGATACTTAGAGCAGAATCTTTGATGTGGTGAAAAAATATGAAATTGTTGACTACAGAGTAGGAAGAAAGCACAAGTAAGCCCTGCTTACTTTGCTTATTGGCTAATCTGCCCCTGGCAATAGCCCTAACAACAACAAAAACATACCACTTACTTAGGAAGGAAGATGAGGAAATAGAAGATGTTGCGAAAATACTTGAACTCCCCCCCCCAGTTACTTTATGAAACCAGTCCTGAACGAGGCATTGCAGGGAAGTGGAATGGACTGGCAACAAGTAATGATGGTCATGTGGGTACAACTCTGGCTAAGAGGCCACCCTGACAACCAAGTTGGGATAAATGAACATGTGGGGATCACGTGTCTTCGGTTACTAAAGAATTAGCTAATGAATCTACCAAACTTTCGGCAGTTCTTTTTAAAGTTAGGGGGAACTAAGAAAGTGATAGCTGGACAATGAATAAGGAAGACTAAAGAAGAACTGATGCATTTGAATTGTGGTGTCAGTGAAGAATACTGAAAATGCCATGGAATGCCAGAAGAATGGACAAATCCGTCTTAGAGGAAGTACAGCTGGAATGCTCCTTAGAAGCGAGAATGGCCAGACGTCATTTCTTGTGCTTTGATCATATTGTCACAAGGGATCATCCCTGGAGAATGCCAATCATGCTTGGTACAGTAGAGGGTCAGCAAAAAAGGGGAAGACCCTTAATGAGATGGCTCAGTACAGTGGCTGCAACAATGAACTGAAGCTCGTCAACGATTGTGAGGATGGAGCAGCACTGGGCAGTGTTTCATTCTATTGTACACAGAGTTGCTATGAGTTGGAGCCAACTCAATGGCACCTAACCATGAGAAAATGATGCATGCACAGGGTTACTGACCTTTAAGGCAAGAGTTAAAAAATTCAACTGTGAGCTATTAAATGTCCTGGCCATGTGAGGAATCTTGTACATAGTAACTGCCAGGTTGAAAACCAAACTTTAAAAAATGATGCAGAGATGTGGGGATATGTTTTAATGTAGGCTGATACGGCCATTGTTAAGCATCCAGACCAGGCTAAAAAGCTGACAGTCTCACTCAAGGCAAGTGTCAATTTTCAGAGTCTATGTGGGCTGATGCAGCGTGCAAGAAAGTTCTGCAGAACAAAAATACTCCAATACTCAAGAAGGACAGAAAAAGTTAAAAGAACAAAATCCCAAAGTCAGGTTAGCAAACTCTAAATTGCATGGTCTCATTTAATCCTACAGCCCCAGGCACTACAGTCCCCAAAGTACAGATGAGAAAACTAAGACTCAGAGAGGAACAAATATAATAAGTACTAGAATGTAGCTCTTTCTGGCTTTAAATCTGGCATTCCTCCTATACCATGCAAGAAAGCTTATACTGGATAAAGAAGGAGATATCCTATGAATTAAGGAAAAAAAACCCAAACCTGAGCATTTTTGAATTCAGATGAAAATAATAATTCTGAAAGTGATGCCAGGCATAAAAGGAGCTGAAAAAAGATTGATGGTGATGTCATTATTTAAAAAGAGAGTAAAAGAGGCCTGTTTCACACATGACTGCTAGGAATATCCTATCATTTCCTGTCATTCCAAAAATATCTATAAAGGGCCTACTGTGTGTAGGAGCTCTGTTGGTTCAGTGCCTAAGGCATTTGTCTGCTAACCAGAAGGTCAGTGGTTCAAACCCACCAGCTGCTCTGCGGAAGGAAGATGGGGCAATCTACTTCCGTAAAGATTTACTGCCTTGGAAACCCAATGGGGGTTGCTGAGTTGGAATTGACTCAATGGCAGTGAGTTTAGTTTGGTTTGGTGTGTAGGATACTGAGATAGGTCCTGGCAGAGGCAAAAAGAGGGAAAAGTGAAAGACGTATAAGACCTGGTTCTCGAAGTGAATGAAGAGATGAGCACACTTAATATCTTTGCACAGAACAAGGTCTGGAAAGAAATACGACAACAAGTTAAACAGTATTTTCTCTAAGTGGTGGGATTTGGGGTAATTTTAAATGTTGCTCTTTTTGGTTCTGTACATTTTATAAATTGTGTACAATAAATAAATGTGCTTTTAAATTTAAAAAGGTATTGAATAAAAGGATAAGTTAACACCAAACCAAAAACCCACTGTTGCCATTGAGTCTATTCTGACTCAGAGTGACCCCATGTGACAGAGTAGAACTTCCCCACAGGGTTTCCGAGGCTATAACCTTTATAGAAGCAGAGTGCCACATCTTTCTCCTGCACAGCAGCTGGTAGTTTTGTACCTCTGACCTTTCGGATAGCAGCTGAATGCTTAACCACTCCGCCACCAGGACTCCTCAAGGTAACACAGGAGCAAGAGCAGGTATATAAGGAAGAAGGCCGATGACAGCAAGGGCAGGAATGGTTGAGGTGCTGACTTCCAGGGGTAGGGCCTGGAAGGAGCATTAGGGAAAGGGGAGCAGGGTGAGTGTGAGGAGACACACGCACACGCAGTACTGAAGGATGCAGGTCTCAAAAGGTGGTTGAGATGTGGTGTTGGAGGACTTTGTGGGGCAGGGTGGGCTTTCAGCCTTGTTCAGGAACCAAAGACCAGAGGAGCTGGTGAGGACCCAAGTGCCTTTGAGAGGCAGGCAGAGTTGCCTGGTCTGGAGTGGGGGGCGGAATGTGGTGGTTGGAGAGGGCTGCTCTAGGGGAACAGCAGGGGATTGGCCCGGGTGGTATCCTCTGCACCCCAACCTGCCTTAGTTGTCCCTGCACTGTGGTCTCAGGGCTGGGCCTTGGAGGTGAGGGAAGGGAAGAGCAGAAACCAGAGCTGGAGGTTTGGAACAACACCAGATCAAGGTGTATATCTATGTTTAGGGGCAGGGATGGAGGGTGGGAAGTAGTGCAATGGGGCAGGGGGTCAGGCTAGATGTATATCTATGTTTAGGGGCAGGGATGGAGGGTCGGAAGTAGTGCAATGGGGCAGGGGGTCAGGCTAGGAGGTTGTGTGTCTCCCAGGAGCAGGATAGCAGGATGTCCTGTGGCATGTGTGTAGCATTAACTCATCACAACTGCCAGCACTTGGTTGCATGAATTCCCACCCGAAGTCCTGGAGGGCTGACCTCTGGGGCCTGAGAAGACCCGCTCCCAGAGGTCTGAAGACACAGTGAGCAGCCATTCATGGATCCCCCCCGGGGAAGGGGCTCTTTGGTGATCCCTGAAGCTGGCTCAGCATTTCCTGGAGAGCCCAGCAAGCCTTAGAGAGAAAGCACAGGAAGCTGTGAGGGTCATCTGTGCTCCTCCAGCCTTGAGTAGAAGGCACCCAGAACTAGGATTGATGCCCCAAATACAAATGATTTCCTCACCTGCCTCCCACCCATTATCCTGATAGACCAGAGCTGCTGCTGCCCCAGCAACCTGGTTACTTGTTCCCAGATCCCTGAAAATGGAACCCAAAGGCTCCCAGAGAAGCTGCTTCCTAATTGTTCAATAGCTTTTCCAACTACCACATCTGTTCAGGTAGGAGGCCTTTTGTTTCCCAAGAGAGGCCTCCTGTGTCAGCCCCTAGGACAGCCTTTCACAGTCCCCTTGGCATCAGCAGCCATCGTCCTCCCATTCCCAAGTCTGCCATTCTTTTCACCTTCAGCTGCACAGAGATGGGAGAAGGCAGAAAAAAGGCCTTTTATAACCAAATTATCTCTGTGCATTCATCTGCCATTATATTAATGCATCACGAAGCTCGGCAGATGGTACAAAGTCAATTATGCTGGCGTTTTAAAGGGAGAAATTGACCTTTTCGAGACTCACTTGGATTCCAGGGCAGAGTTTGCAAACCTCTGTTTCAGGCCTGGCATGGAGGCAAAGGTTGGCTGCTCTTTGGAAGGGGGAAGGGATGGGGTTGTGGTGGTCAGCCCCTGGGGACTGGCTACCTTTGGAAGGATGCCTCTCCTACCTGCACATTTTCTCAAAGAGCCCAGCATAGCCATCACAGTTGGTTTTCTGGGTTTGCAGAATGTCAGTGATCTTGAAGGCTTGGCGGTCCTTCTCCTGGGCAGCTACGATGTCATACTCTGGAGGGCAGAGGAGGGGCTGTGAGCAACTGAGCCCAGAGCATGTGGCCTAGGCTGAGGCAGAGGAGAGAGAGGGCTCCACTTCCTGGATCATTGCGCCACTCCTCAGTGTGCTTTTTGGCATCACTTGGGCTTGCTTCCCTCAGCCCCAGATAAGGTGAGTGGAAGAAGGGCCTCAGCCCTCAGGGAATTGGGAAAAACATCACCTCTTTGTGCAGGTGGTGAGAGAAAGAGTAAGGCCTACACAGAGCAGGCCACTTGGCTCCTCAGACCTCTGAGGAGGGGCTGTGAAGGGAAAGTGTCAGATCACCCAGTAAGCAAGGTAAGCACGGGCTTACTTGTGCTTACTTACTAAGCTGTAGTGAACAGTGTAGTTTTGTTCTCTACAAATCAGTAAGTAAGCACAAACAAGCCTGTGCTTTCCTTATGTATTGGGTACTCTGCCCCTGGAGGGAAAGGAGCCATGACCGATACAGGGATGGAGGCTGTCCTTGATTATCCCACAACATAACCCTCACAGCTCTGCAAGCAGCTCATCTACCTTTGCTGCAGCTCCCAAGGCCAAGGTCACATGCTGACCCACAGGGGGCTCTTTGGGCTATGGTTACAGCTTGCCCCCAAATGAAGGAAACTATTCTCTCACAGTCACTTCCCTAAGGAGAGGATGCCAGTATTGTGAAAGGGCCATGAGCCCTGTGGTGAAGTCCTGAGGCAGAAATCACTGTGGTCACTGAGGCCATAAAGGGAGACAGAGGAAGAGATAGAGAGAGAGGGAGGGAAGAAAGGAGAAGCGGGGGAGAGAGAAAATATAGGGGGGGGGGGATGTAGTAAAAGAAATACTAGTAAACATTTTGTTTCTGGTTTCTGATCTCCTGCCCCGTTAAGGCCCAGGCTAAACTGGTGCGATTAGGGTGGGAGGAGGTGGCCCCTTGGGCTCCATAGTCAGACCTCCTACCTGTGCCAGGTGAGCTCATCCTCTAAGTTCCATCCCTAACTGCTGGCTCAAGCCCTGGTAGCAGCAGGTAGGCAGCCACTTTGGCCTTTAAGTCTCACAGTAATCACTAGGAGTTTGTCCCTTGGCCTGGATCTTCCTTCCGTTCATTTGTGTTTGGAAGACTCCCCTTAGCAATCACCTCTGAGGCTGTGCTCCACCTGGAGAGACTCACAAGGTCCTCTTGTGGAGAGCCATGGGCAGGCACACAGGCCCAGGTCTCCTGAGTGGTCGTGAGACTCCTGGAGACTGGGCTGGAGTCAGTGAACAAGGTGGCCCGTGTGGGAACAAGGAGTGGGGAGAGGAGAGCCCATCCTTCCTGGCACTGGTGCTTTATGAAACCTTTGGCATTGCAATTACTTTTCAAAGGCTATGGTTTCTTCCTAATCAGTGGTGATCTTCCTTGCAGATGACTTTGTATCCTGGATTCTCATCCCTGTACAGCAGGTTTACCAGGAGGCCAAGAGTGACGGAGGCTGTTGCCATGTGAAGGGCCCCAGCTCTGGCTGCTGGCTGTGGGCAGAGGGCTGAGTGGGGTTCCCACCCATGGGTGATCGCCCCCTTAGAGATTGTTGGCACATGGTGAGAGCTGCCCTCCTTGGCTAGTCTTTGGTTATTCAGTCCAGCTATCTGGGATCCCCTCTCCCCCATCCTCCCTCTTTCTCCACATACACTGGTGATCAAGTCCCAGAGACACACCCCTGGGGTTCTAGGGTCAGTGGTGCTACAGGTGGGCCTACCTATGTGGTGGCAGATCCAGATCCAGATGGCGCGGACCCTCTCCAGGTCACTGTTGGCCTCTTGGACCAGGTCACTCACCAGCTCATCCAGGCCACTCTTGACCATCACCTGGGGAGTGGGAGCAGTGGGCTGTGTCAGGGACTGGAGGAGGGCTGTGGGCAAGCTGAGAATCCTACCACCTGCAGCCAGAGTGACTCCTTCTCCAAGAAGAAAAAGAGGGGAGGCCAAGAGGTACAAAAGCTGGACTGAAGGTAACTTGGTGAAGGGTTGGACAGGGTGGACAAAGCTGACTAGCCTAATACCTGGTCTCAGAGCCACCACATCTTTTCTCTGTAGTTCCTGGGGCTAGTTAGATGGGCATCCAGCAATAGCAGCCACAGTCAAGAACAAATGAGCTTTTCTTGAAGGGACCCTCAGCAGGAAACAGGTGGAAGTGCTGGAAAGGCAACTCTGACTATGTTCAATCTTTCTAGAGCAGCTGAGGATAGTGAATGCTTAATTTCTGCCACTGGGGTTCATGTCTCACTTCAGCTCCCACCTCTATGGCACTCCATTATAAACTGGAACCATCCTACCATTCATATCTGCACTCCAGGGTTCCTCCCTCAGACCACTGTCCACTACACTGGCTCTCGGATCTCAAGGAGGCCTCTGGACCCTTCTTTCTTCCAATCTCCCAGCTTCTCTTTGTTTTATTTTCTTCTATGTCTACTCAGGCTCTGTGGTCCTCGTCTTTGTTCCTCTCCCAGGACCCAAAACAGCATGAGACACCTTGCAGAACCACATTATAGTGTGAGTGACTCCAAAACTAAAAAAAAATCAGTTTTGTGGCTTCTGGTCCTTTGGTCCCAACCTGGTCCTAGTTAGGCCTGGCTTACTCTGTGGCTGGGTATTTGGTCTCAGCTGGGGTCTGTAACTGCTCACCTGTGCCTGGCCAGCAGCCTGTCCCATTGCTTTTGACAGCCATTACAAAATATCTCACCCTCTTCAGCCTCTGGACAACCCCTCCCATCCCTCAACAGATGACCTGGCCTTGGACACCCAAGAGGCCCAGGCAGGAATGCTGAATCCCACATACTACCCACATTTCTTTCCTGCTTCAGCCTTTGCTGGGACTACTCTTTGTCAATCAGTTGCCTCCCTCTCCTGAGTCCTCACCTCTTCCCTCCCCTTCCGGCTATTCTATCCCTCCATTTCTCCTAGTCTCTTTCTGAGTACTGCCCATGTCTAGCCTCTCCTTCTTTGCCAGGCTCCTGGTGGGCATCTCTCCATTAACTGGCCCTGCTTTTCCACCTTCTCTTTGCTCCTCAACCCTCTGGAGTCCAGCTGAGGCCTCCAACCCTCCTCTTAGCTACCCTTCATGAAGTAAAAATCAGTGCTTTCAGTGCCAAAGCAGCAGAAATGAGCCTGTCTTCATCTCACTTGACCAGCCTGTGTGGCTTACATTGCTGGACTATGCCTGCCCTGCATCAGCTATCTCCCTGGACCTTCCAGGACATGGATTCTTCCTGGCTTCTTTGTTGGCTCCAGGCCCTTCAGACTGCTTCCCACCCAGTGCTCTCTCCATAGACGGACACCATCCTATGGCTTCAGTTCTTAGCTAAATATGATGATTCTCAAATCAGTGTTTCCAGTCCAGACCTGTCCACCAGCTCCAGGCTCATCTGTCCAGCTCATTATTTCCACTGCATGTGCTATAGGTAACCAGAGCCCACTGTCCTCCAAACAAACTCATCATCTTCCCAAATTTGCTCCTTCTTTGTTCCTCATGGTGAGGGATTGCCTTGTCCTCCCCCTGGTACTCAATTCAGCAATCTGGGAGCCCCCTTTCCTTTCACTTCACTCCACACCCACTGGTGACTGAGTCCTTTACCTCTGTCTCCAGCCCAGTATTCACCTTTGCCCTCTTCTCTGTCCTCAATACCTCTACACATTCTAGGCTAGGCCTTCTCTTGCCAGGATAGTTGTATGTCCCTCAACTGACAATGTGACTGACCCTAAAGAGATCTTGTCGACCCATGCATTCATTCAACAATTCCTGAGTATCCACTACGTGCCAACCACAAGGTGGTCTTTCTAAAACTCTAGGTGTTCTTCCCTGCTTAACATTCTAGGATGCCTCACTGTGACCTCCAGAAAAGGGTCCAGCTCCTTGGCCCTTTCTATTAGACTCTTGCTGGCCAGGCTTCTGTCTGGCTCCATGACTTCCACGAGTCCCTAGTGCTTCATCTGTTATAGCTGCCCCCTCCCCACATCCAGACATGCCCAGGTCTGAGGTGTGAGAGCCTGGCAGGCCACACGCTCTGGGCTGAGTGTGGCTGTGGTCACAGTGGATGCCGGTCTTCTGCATCCATGGTCCTCCTCTATCCTCTCCCTCTCTTCCTCCATAGGGTGGGGCTGGCATGGTCCAGGAGCAATAATGCACAAATGGGCCTGAGAAGGGCTGGCCAGAGGGACCTGGCAGAGGTGCCTGGCAGACAAGCTGCTTGAGGGTGTGCCACCTGGAGTGGGAGGATCAGAAGCATGGGTGGGGCAGGGGGATAGAATGACCATTGGTCCTGAGGAGGGTCCTCTGTACCCCATCCACATACTGTAGAAAGGCACTCTCAGGGCATCCATCCAAGTGATTCAGGATATGTTTAGGATGGACCTGGGAAGAAGCTTTGCCATCCTGGGTCAGGGAACGCCAAGTCAACTTGGGGGGCTCATGGCTGGAAGCACTGGGCTGTCCTACCTGTGACGCATGAATGTCCAGTTTCTCAAACTGCCGCAGGTCCAGGGGCATGGATTTCAGGCTGGACCGGTCCCAGGGGTAGGCTGGAAACACAGGGAGGCCACAGTCAGTTGCTGAGGCCTACAGAGAAGACTGCCTGTCCCAGGCCTCACTGCCTCTTTGAGGAACTGTGACTGCCCTACCTTTAACAATGATTCCCAAAGCCTGACTCCTGAACCACTAGGGCCAAGAACCTATCTTCTTTAAGTGTTCTTTGATCAAATTAGTTTGGGAAATATGACAAATCCTATGAGCATATGCCTATTTGCAGACTCTGGGAAGTTAGCACTAAAGAAATTGGTTTAACATAACATCCATCAACTCAGACATATTTGATGATGGAATCCCCTTCCTTCCCACCATTCAGTGTTTTTCAGATTCCCTGATAACTTTTCTAGGAATGAGTGCTCTGTGGGAAGCGTTTGGGCAATGTTGCTAGCCCCTGTTGAGTTCAAGAAGGAAGGGTCTGTGCCCATGGACATGGTACCCCAGGGTGGAGGTGCCACAGATCACTCTGAGTATTAGAAGAGGTCATGAGGGGGCTGAGTGGTCTGAGCTTCTGTAAGATGAGATGTTTGCCCTCCTCCCTTGCCCATGGTTAGCTGGAGACTGCGGCACGAGGAAGTAAACTGGATGGAGGTGCCTGGCAATTCTCCCCCACCCCCCAGGTGCTGTGAGGAGGCCCCTGAGAGAAGCTGGGCCTCAGAAACACTCAGGAATGTCCAGTCTTTTTTTGTAGGAAGCCTTGTTTCCCAAAACCTGGGCCTTGAGTTTCACATTGCTAGGATAGAGATACAGGGAGGAAAAAAACCTCAAGATTGTGTCTGATGCTGACACAGGGCCAGCGGCCTTCCAGCTCCCTCTATTGGACACAGGACAGCCCTCGTCAGCTGTTGCCAGGGGTCCTGTTGCAGGGCTGACTCACCAAGATTAGACCAACAGATGGGTGGATAGCAAACCCCTGTCCCAGCCCAGAGGAGAGCCTGAGCTCTGGTGAAGTCCTTCTTAATTAATGCCACTTGAGCCAGGGAGGCCCAAATCAGGGAAGTTGGGTGTGAGGACAGGGTGGGATGGGTGGAGGAAGGGACCAAAGTGAAATTGATCCCCTTACTCAGTTGGACCCACCCACCTCTCAGCCAGTCATCTCAAGTGCCTCTGGCCTTGGGTGAGTGAGATGTGTTGGTGGGGCCCAGGACGTAGCAGGGAACCTGGGAAGAGCAGAATGATGTGAGGAAACACCAGCTGGGCTGCACAAGGCCCAGGTTCTGGTCTGGATTTGAACACCTTGCTGGGGGGCCTTTGACCAGCCACATAACCTCAGCCACATATGTGTAGAACTCTTGGGAGAGTGAATAGGATGGTGGGCCATGTTGCTACATCCCTATAACTGCTCTCTGGAAGGGTGCAAGCTGTGGGGCTGCTATAACTGCTCTCTGGAAGAGTGCAGACCTCTGAGTCCTAGAGCAGGGATGTGAGGCCCTGTGCCCAGTGGGGAGGCTACAGCTGCATCTTGACTATGCATCCCCAAGGGCAGCCACTGCCTTGGCGTGATAGCCCCAGAGAGATATGGTGAGGGGGTGGGGATGTGTGTCATTTCCAGCCCTGGCTTAAGCTACTCCATGAGCCTCTTCTGGACCATCATTGGTTGTGAGGGCAATGAACTTATGAAGCTGACCCATGTCTGGCCACCAAGGAATGCCACTCCTCGAGTCAAGTTTAGCTTCAGAAGCAGGCCACATGGATTATCCTCTTTTCCCCACTGTCCCAGGGTCCCTTCCTGCTAGAAACCAGACCATCTTTCTTCTTATGCCAGACTGGATTTGGCACATTCCCTACATTTCACCTCATGCTGCTCACTTGTTTCCTTAAAGCCCCTGAGGTTTGGTCCTTTGACCTGAAGCATCTCAATAGATTCTCACTGTATCACTTGTCTGGCACATCCAGGATCTGGTTTGCTCCTCTCCAGAGAAGGGATAGGGCACGAGGTGGGCAAGCCAGCTGTGCAAACCCTATCACAAAAGCTGTGGTCTCATCTAGCAACCTAGCATCCTCTTTCTTTGTTTGTTTGCTCCTTCTACAAGTCATTCCTGCACTCCCAGTTTTTTTTTTCTTTTTTTATTTTGTGCTGTATAATCTTACATTGGAGCTATCTTGAAGCCAGCTGGAGTCCTGGCTCCTATTCAGGCCTCTGGTGCTGGAGCTATGATTTCTTGGTTGGCCATTGCTGAGAATACCATGTAATCCCTATCCCATGTGCTCTTGGAGTACAGCCATCTATCCAGCCAGCCCCTTGGAAGAGGGCAGGGAGACCCTAGCAGGCCCCTGCTGAACTTCCCCCTTCAATGCCCTCTCTCTCCATAGACTCTGGCTCCTGCTGTTCTATGACAAGGGCCATCAGGGTGACCTAAGTGGATATGAAGTGGACTGACACATTTAACAGCCTTCTCCTCATTACAGCTCTGCAAATGAGGTCCCTCCTCCCATTTAGAAAAAGGATGACATTTCTAAAACGGGATCAAAAACTCTATTACTAATTTGACTCTTTCTTGCTTCCATTTTACAATATCTGAACATTAAAAATACCCGCAGTGATTTATGCCTCATTAAATCTACCCTCTGAGCAGATTATATATGATCCAAATATGATTTTGTATAAATACATTTAAAATACCAGCAGCATTAACGAAATTGTTCTAATTTTAAAATACAACACTCGGGGAAAATTCTGAGCTGTACTGAACCTTAGATGCCAACTACTCGACTGAGGGGGAAACTGAGGCCTGGGAATACAAGTAGGAAGAAAAATCAAGGTTTGAACCCAGGGTGCCTATCACTCCACATACAGTGCTTCTTCCTTTGCTCCTGTTTGCTTTTAAATGTGCCTTTGCTTATTCACATATCTCCTACCTTACAGACATTTGACCCTCCTTTTAAAGTTAACAGAATTCTGAATTCTGTTTTAAATATGTTTCCCATAACGGGCTGTCTTGTTACTGGTAAGGTTTATGCTTTAGCTTTAGGATGACATCTGGTATGTGAGTTTTCTTCTTCTCCACCTGTGTTCACAGCAGACATTGCTAATCAATCACAACTCTTCCCTTCTGAGCCCCGAGGCAATCCACAACTCTCAACACTGTGTTCCAGGAAGCCATTACCAGTTGATTGGAGCTATACCATGAAGTTAAATCAATTTGCTGTCCCTAAGAACGGCCCTGGAGAAGAACCCGTAACTTACCATGTGCATCTTTCCCTCCAGGCTGCCGGGGTCTTGTATTTCCATTTTTATCGCCTTGTAAACCTACAACATCCCAAAGGTCAGGAGTAAAGACACTTAAGAAGAAACAGAAATGCAAGCACAGGCAATTTTGTATGGTGGTCCTTGCTTCTGATGCCTCCTCTCCACCCTCCTCACAACCTTGCTCCTATCCCCACCTACTAAGTAATTATTACAGTATTCCTTGGGTTGGTTAAAGGGCAACTCAATCCTATAAATTCAGGACTGTTAAAGGCATATGTAGCCATTCATTATTAAACTCCATAAGCAAAAGGAAAGGAATATTTCCTGTAGGATGAAGGTTTCAAATAAGATACAAAACCTTAAGAACTTTAGTGCTCTTCTAAAGAGAGCCACAGGATCCATTTTTTCAGGAAGGCTTTAAAAATAGAGCACATTTTTTCCGTCTAGAAATAGACTAGATATGGGTGGGACCAAGTTGGGAAGACATGAGTCCCTGAAGGACCAGGAGGAATTAGGGAAGGGTTGTCAAAGCTGGTGGTTTTATGACATTAAAAGCCATTGTAGGCTGTAAAGGAGCTCTGGTGATACAGTGATTAAGGCATTTGACTGCTAACTGAAAGGTCAGTGGTTTGAATCCATCAGCCTCTTAGTGGGAGAAAGATTTACACAGCCTTGGAAATCCTATGGGGCAGTTCTACTCTGTCCTGTAGGGTCACTATGAGTTGGGATTGACTTGATGTCAGTAGGTTTTGGGTAAATAGGCTGTAAATGTAACAATGGAAAATTGCAAATGTGTATAGTCTGCTCTAAGAAACAGGCTAATCCTTTCGTCTCTGGCATAGCAGCACCTACATTCTTAGATACAGTGATGGGAATTCAAGATAGTAGTTAGCATTTGTTTCATACTTACTATGCCTAGCCTGTGCTTTCCATTCTATCTTACATTTGGTCTACAGCAACCCTACGGGGAAGTATATTATTCCCCTCCTTTTATATATGAGGAAATGGAATACAAAAAAGAGATTAAGCCACCTGTCAAAGATGACACTCAAGTCTAGCTTCTCAGCCACATACTAGACCACCCTGCTGAGACCCTGACTGTTGAGGACTGCAGGATCAGATAGCTTGGAGAATCTTGGCACACTGAATGGACCCGGAGAGGACTTGAGCCTAGGCCGTTCTAAAGGCATCATTTCTTCATGTTTATTTCCCTCAAGGTCTCTGTTCAGCCATGAGATGACAGATGCATGTAGAGGACAAGAAGGGAGTGGAGAGGCACCAGAGCCCTAGGTGTTGGTCTGTATGCATTGCACCGAAGGCAGCGAAACACAGTGGTTAACACAGGCTTCGGTGTCAGACCTGGGTTCTAGCCCACTTCCTAGGTGGGTGACTAAGGCAGTACACCTTTCTGAACACCACTTTGCTGATCAAAAAAAAAAAAAAAAAGGAATGATACTAATATACAGAGAGTGCTGGTGGCACAGTGGAAAAAAATGGAATGATACTAATATGTGTCAAAGGATTAAAAAGTTAATAAATGTACACTCCTTACCACTGTGCAAGCCACTTATTTTTAAGCAGTCAATAAATGCTATCTATAAACCAGAAAAAGAGGCTTGTTTGGGAGCACATTTCATCTATATCCATTGTGAACTTCTGGATTTCAGACTGCCTTTGAGTCCACTCTAGGTGACTCCAGTACACTCAATGTGCTGTTGTTGTTGTTGTTATGTGCCGTCGAGTTGGACCCGACTCATAGCGACCCCTCCTTGGGTTGCCAAGGCAGTATCACTACAGAAGTAGATTGCCCCATCTTCCTTCCGAGGAGTTGCTGGTGGGTTTGAACCACCAGCCCTCTGGTTAGCAGTCTAGTGCCTTAGGCACTATGCTACCAGAGCTCCCACTCAATGTGCTACCCATGCCTAATTCCAGAGACTCAAGAACCATGGTGGCTGGATGTGGAGAAATAAAATTCTCTCCAGGATGAAGCTGTCATGCATCAGTCTCTCCAGAGTGTGCAAGTCAAGGCCACAGATCACTCTACTCCTCTCTCCAGCAGATGCCTGTGCTGGGCTCTGGCCCACCTAGATACTCTTAATTCTTCCAGCCCTCTACACACCAGCACCCCTGTATATACGTACGTTTAGCCAAGGAAAACTTCTTGAACAGCTGGGGCATAGCGTCTCTAGGATGGACTTCCACAGTCAGCTGTGTCCCTGCAAAGGAACAAGAGTGATATGCTCAACTGGATGCTGCCAGAAAAGGCTGCAGTTTCCTTTGGCAGAGGTTTGAACAACAAAACACAATTGGTTTTAGAGGTTTCCTCTGAACATACAAGCAATTCTTGTTTAAAAGCCAAGCAGACAGCTTTCAGATCAAGCCAAGATGGAGAAAGTACACCCCATCCTATTTCTCCCACCGAATACAACAATAAACTCTGGACAGAATGCACAGAGCAACTATTTGAGGATTCTGCAAAATAAATGGTAGAGGATAGATTGGGGAAAAAGACCAGAACTGAAGTATCATCAAACTGGGGGTGGGTTTTCCATTCTCCCCTCTCCTACTGGCGTCACCTAGAGTGGACGCAAAGGCAGTATGAAATCCAGAAGTTCACAATGGGTGTAGCTGAAATGTACTCCCAAACAAGCCTCTCTTTCTGTCTGAGGAGTGAGAAAGGCAACTCCTAAGGATCAGAGAAGGTAAGGGTAATCATATATATATATATATATATATATATATATATATATATATTCCTTCCCTTTCTTCATCTTTTTGTTTGTTTTGTCCTCTCTCGTAAATTAGCCTGCAGGCAATTCTGTCAGAGCACTGGTAGCAGTGCTGGTGGTGGCTTGATAGGTACCTAAGACTTTGAGGGTAACTCTTCTCTCTCACCAGGAGAATTATGGTTCCAAGAATGTAGGGCAAATATTTCTTTCTTTCTTTCTCTGTTCTCTGCTGATTGTCCCCATGTGCAGACACAGTTGTGGGGAATGCATGGCAGAGTGGGGAAAGTAAAGCCCCAGTTTTGGGGCTGGGGAACAAGGAAAGGGGTTGTGATTAGTCAGATGCTCTAGAGGGCAATTCCAAACATTGTGAATGAACTCCTGTGCTGAACTCCAAATTGAGCTTGCAAGGGTCTTAGTATACCAAGGCCAGGGCTCAGGTGCCAGAATGGCCACTGGGAGGCACACTTGCAGGACAGGTCTGTATAGCACTGCAAAAGCAACAATCCAAAATTACTCAGCATAAAAAGACCCAGGAAAGCCTTTAGTTGAAAAGGAAAAGATAATTAACAGATACCAATTCCATGATGATACAGATTTTGGGATTATCAGACAAAGACTTTAAAACCTCTACGATAACCAAGCTACAAGAAGTTAGACAAACAGTATGGGAATACATGGAAAGATACAAGTATCAGCAAAGAAGTTGAAATTATAAGAAGAAATAAATGGGAATTTTAGAACTGAAAAACAATATTAGCTTAAAAGGTTCTCAGGATATGCTCAATAGCAAAATGGAGATGACACAGGAGTCAGTGAACTTGAAGATGGAACAATAACAATTATTCAATATGAATAACAGAGAGAAAAAATTGCAACAACAACAAAAGAACAGAACCTCAATGATCTGTGGGACAATACTCAAAGGTACATCACTCATGTTACAGAGAGCAGAAGGAGAGGAGAAAGAGTGTGGTGCAGAAAAAAAATAGTAACATACAGGCTGAAAACTTTCAAAATTTGGCAAAAGACATAAACTTACACATTCAAGAATAACAGTGAACTCAAACAGGATAAACATAAAGAAATCCAAACCCAGACACATTATAATCAAACTACTGAAGATAAAGAAAAAAGAAATCTAGTGTGAGAAATAAAACATTACATATAGATATATTGCCAATTTCTTATCAGAAACCATGGAGACCAGAAGGAATTGGAATAACATTTTCAAAGGACAAAGAAATGAATCGTCAATATAGAATTCTACATCCAGTGAAAATATAACTCAAGAATGAAAGTAAATTCAGAAGAACTAGAAGGTGCCCAGCTACAGATGCCAACCACTCAGAAAGAGATGAAAATTGGAGATTCTCAATAGAGTGGATAAAAAAATGTGGAATAAACTTCAAAAACATAAAGAAGACAGGATACTGGCTGGATAGAGACTGGAAAAACGCCTGAAACTATGGCCCTGAGTCACTGTTTGGGCCTGGAATTGGACTCACTCCTGTGGCTCAACTCTTAGCCAAACAATAGATGATGACCTATGAGCTGAACTATACCAGGGAGATGCATCTTAGAACAATCAGAAGGGCAGCATTTGCACAGGGAGAAAGTGAGGCAGGAAGGAATGCATAGGTAAGAAGGACAGAGAGAAGAGGTAACCACAGGGAGGAGATGGGAGGAGAGATATTCCATTGTGGGGATTGTAATCAGTGTCATGAAACAAAATGCATATGAACTGTTGAATGTAAAACAAATCTGCTTTGTAAAATTGTATTGAAATCATAATAAAAATTTAAAAAAAAGAACAAAGGTAAATAAAAACATTCTTAGATGATGTTAAGCTAAAAGAATTTATTAAACTAAGAACTGATCTAAAATATATGGGAAGAAAAATGATACCAGAAAGAAACTTGGAAGAGCAACAGAAATGTTAAATATCTAGGTAAAGACAATACTTTATTCTTCTAATGTAACTAATGTCAGTGAATTGTACATGTACAAACTGGTGAGCTTTACAAGTGGCGCTCTGATCTCCAGGCAGCAACCTAAGAATCGGCTCGGCTTGCCGAGGACTGCGTGGGCAACTGCCCTGGTGGCTGGCGACTAGAAAGGAAAACAATGAATAAGGAGAAAAAACAGAACTGTGAGCTGTCAGCTGTCATGAGGGCAGAGACATTTTGAATATTTGTAAGTGGCATTCGATCTGGGCAGCACCCTAAGAATAGGCTTCACTTGCCAAGGACAATAGGAGCTCTGGTAGCGTAGTGCCTAAGGTATTTGACTGTTAACCAGAAGGCTGGCAGTTCAAACCCACCAACCACTCCTCGGAAGGAAGGTTGGGCAATCTACTTCTGTAGTGATACTGCCTCAGAAACCCAAGGAGGGGTCGCTATGAGTCGGGGCTTACTCGACAGCACATAACAACAACAACAAACCAAGGACAAGACAGGCAACTGCACTGCAATCTGACTACTAGAAAGGTGCAATATTCCCTTGTTACTCTTGTACCCCACACCCTTTTGTTGAATGGAGGGGTGGCCATGCCCCACCTCCACTCACCTTCTGGACCAACAGGAATTCCATGTGTGTCTGTGCACCCTGACAGGGCCTGCTTGCTCTGCCCTGTCCCAATTTTCTTTCTGTTTGTTTGTTTTTAAATTATCTTTTTTTTTCTTCCTCCTTTCTTCCTTTCTTTTTTTTCTCTTTCCCTTCCCTTTTATATTCTTTTCCATTTTCCTGGTTCCCTTCTCTTATTTTCCCCTTTAGTTTTTCCCATTCCTTGTTTTTCTTTTTGTAGCTTTCTCATTTATTCCTTATTAATCTTTTTCTCTTGCTCTTTTATCTTATTCTCTCCTCCCCAGATATTATGAGTTTGTTTTTTCTTTATCTTTCTTTTGCACCCCCCTTTTTTCCTTCGATGCTTCTCTTTTTTCTTTTTGGTGATTGTTGCTGCTTGTATATATGGCTTGTGTTTTGTTCTTTTCATTTATTTATTTGACTACTTTTGTCTGAGTGGGAGACAGCAACCATGCCCACATGACCCAACTATACCTGAACCTCCTGACGCCCCACTTACTGGGTGAGGGACACCACTTGCTTCTGCACCAACTGACCAAAGATAGCGCCCAATACCACCCCAACACACCCTCAATGGCTCTTCATAAATAGCTAACAAAGATCTGTGCACACACTCTCATTCTCTATCACATCTACCAAGAGACAGGTGGTAAATGCCTAAGTGCTGCCAATCAGCGAATAGAGGAGCACAGTAGCCCTGCTCATTCAGATATATCAAAACAAAATAAAGAAAAAAAATCTTGGGCAAATTACATCAATATATAATCACCAATTACAATGACATCACAATGTATTGCAGACAATTGACCATCCCAGTCCACACTAAGAAGCAAGATAAAGCAGTACAAACAAGGGACCAGGATATAGAACCAGAAAACCTCCCTGAGGAAGAAGCAGTATTGGAACTCCCTGATAAGAAATGAAGAAAACTGAGAAGCACGTCACAGAAAACACTGACAAAATTGATGAAAATATAGACAAAACTCTAGAACTTCTAAATGGAGAGGAAATCAAGACAATTGCAAGACAGAACAAACTGTTCTAAACTTGGGAAGAAAATTACAAATCGCAGGGTAACCTCAAAGAAAAATAATAAATCTTTACATCAGAATAAAGGAGAGGCACAAATATTTAGCAAATACTAAAACAGTAGCAACAAAAAAATGATAACATGATTTATAAACAAAATGATTTTAGCACTGAAAATTAAATAGGAAAAAGACATCAGCAACACTGAAAAAAAAAACATAACAAATGACAGCAATAAATTCATACTTGTTGATAATTATACTGAATGTAAATGGATTAAATGCACCACTCAAGAGATGGAGAGGTGCAGACTGGATAAGAAAACATGATCCATCAATATGCTATTTACAAGAGACTCACCTTAGACACAAAAGCAAAAATAGACTAAAAATCAAAGGTTGGAGAAAGATATATCAAGTAAATGGCAATCAGGAATGATAATCTTAATTTCTGATAAAATTGACTTTAAGACAAAAACCACCAAAAGAGACAAGGAAGGACATTATATAATGATTAAAGGATCGATTGAACAAGAGGACATAACAATAATAAATATCAAAGCACCCAATAAAAGAGCCTCAAAACACACAAAGCAGATTTTAACAGAATTGAAAAGACAAATAGATGACTCCAAAGTAATAGCAGGAGACTTTAATACAGCACTTTAAATGAAAGATAGAACAACTGGAAAGAAACTCAACAAAGACCCAGAAGAACTAAACAATATAATCAACAAACTTGACCTTTACACATCTACAGATCACTTCACCCAACAACAGCACAATATACATTCTTTTCCAGAGCACATGGTACATTCCCCATGACAGATCATATGCTAGGTCACAAAGCAAGTCTCAATAAATTTAAAAACATTG